TGACTTAAGTTACTAACATGGTAAATTCTTGGAGTGTAAAATCATCATGTAAAACTTAGACTTTATTTCTAGTTTGGTTAATTGCTTTAGTTTTAGGTTTTAAGTGTCAAATTTAGGTTCGGTAAGGACCCTTAGATCCCCTAAATTAAGCTCATTCTGTCATGTTTAAGGATAGGATGCCATGCACAAAATCGCTTTTCACATGATTCATGTACTTTCATTCAATTTTTAGTTAATCTTGCTATAATTAATATACACATGTTAAGAGTTTGATACGTCAATTATCTATGCACTCTTGTTGGTTCCTTACTATATTGTTTAATGTTGGTCTCACAATGATTGATGTTATAGGGCGTTCCTACGTATATACATGGATGACTGACATTAACAAACTAGAACTCATACACATGCTAATTTCATGCCTATTTTCCTTAGGATTCGACGCTAGCTGCCATGCTTTTGAGGCCAGGGCCGCTCTTGGCAATCACGTCAGCCCATTTCGAAGAGGACGGCGTCATCGACCAAGTGCCACGAGTTTACGTTAAAACGCTGCATGACCATGTCGTGAAACCAGAGCAACAAGGTTCGATGGTAAAGAGGTGGCCGCCATCGGAGGTCTATGTTTTGCATAGTGATCACAGCCCTATGTTCTCCACCCCATTTCTGCTATTTGGCTTCCTTGTAAAAGCAGCGGCTTCTTATGGTGGACTTAAATAGTAGCTAGGACTAGGATCCTAGGATTTTTCATTACTTCATTGGAAAAAAATCAAATAATATAGGGGAATAAGAACATATGGAGCACTTGGAGCTAACGGAAGATTGGAAGCAAAATCGAGCGCATTGGCGTTCTAGGATTCATATAGCCGACCACATTTAATGATGGGATAAGGCTTGATTATTGTTGTTGTGTAGGGGAATAAGAACAATCAAATGTTCATCAATTGTATATATGTGAGACGCTAAAACGACCACAGTGACGTTATATGTTATACAGCTGACCACACTTTATGAGACAAGATTTGGTGGTTGTTGTTGTTGTAATGGAGAATAAGAACAAACAAATGTTCATCAATTGGATATGTGTGAACTGTATAGTTGTGGTAAAATGATTGATTGCGCATAGTAAACATGAATTTTTTTTTTTGGTACAAATAGTATATGAATTATTTGGTTACATCCTTGGAATATGAGACAATTTTCAATAGAGCTTCCTTTGTTGTTGTTGATAATTTAAAGTTGAGAAATGAGCATGAGTATATATCTGGGGTGGTGCGGTTCAAACACTGGGGTGGTGCTGTTCAAACACCCCGTTTTACCTTACATATATTTCTGTCAATTTTTTTCTTAAATTTTATTTAATTCATTCAATCCGACGGTCGAAATTAAAAAAAATGTGTGAATAGCACCACCCTTTATCTTCTAATATCATTGAGCACTCTCTCTTACTGATGTCATGTAACAAAAAATGCACACATTCAACTATCACGGGATGATCCAGTGGTTGGGGACAAATTACAGGCCTTGTGGTTGAATTCTAGGCCCGTATTCCATATAGCATGTCCTAGGTTAGATCCCTTTCGCTGGTGAATCGTATGATGGTGACCAGGAGGAGGCTGATATGCCTCTGTGAGTCTTTCCGGCTCCCGAAAAAGAAGACTGCACCACCAGCTAGTCCCTTTTTAAAAGAAAGAAAAAATGTTTACATTCAATTTAGAGTATCCTATGATGCAGTTTAACGACAGAAATTGTATATAGTCGTGGCATCCTTGAAGATTTGTTTCTTCTAAAATTCATACACGTTCGAAACACATCTAAAATGTGAAAAAGAAAACCAAACCTTAGATAAAACTAAAACAAAAATAGAAACCTTGGCCAATTTTTCACACGAATAAGTATTGATAAGGGAGTTTAAAAATTAAACGGCTCTGATAATTTTAATTTTTTTTAAGTAAACAACAATGTCAAATCACTCTAGTATTTTTATGAAAATACATTGTTGCGAATATATTGAGAACTTCTTATTTAAATTGAAAATATAAGTCCAACAACTCAAAAAAATAATGTCTTAATTTTTTGAAATTAAGGACTGCTTTGGAAAAAGCTTTTGTATAAATAGAAGGTCAAATCCAATAAATAATCTCCGTGGTCAAGAAATATTCGAAAAGTAGCTCCCTAATGTTTAAAAGGGTGAGGAGACCATGGTAGAGGAGGCTACAAATTTAAGCCCAATTTCACATTTGATTTATTCTTTTAATATTACTTTTCATTTCATCTGTGCACTCCATGGAGCTGATGGTCTGATCCAGAAGGACTTCTATGGAACATTGATGCTATTATGATGATATTTCAAGCGAATTACGCGGTATTATATGATAAAGTTAAAACGTATAACAGTGCGTAATTGGTTTGAGATAACGTCACTGTGATATCTAGTTTTTAAGTAAACGAGAAAGACATGAAAACTATAAAACTATAAACCCTATTTTTTTGTAACAAACGATAAACCCCATTTTTTTAACAAACAATAAACCCCATTGAAAAGGAGACTTTATTAAAATACACAAATCAGAAAAGGCACCAAAGGCCTCTAAACAGAGATATTTTTTAATGTGCCGGCAAGACAGTCTGATACCAGGGTGATAATATAATTGGTTGAAAACTTTAAAATACAAAATTTCCAACTAATTGTAGTATGACACTTAATGTATTGGACCGTGTTCCGGCACACTCAAAATTTCCTCTAAACCATTCCCGTTTCAGCTTCCGGAACTTTATCTTTGCTAACAATGGCAGCACTTGTTTCAGCTGCATTCTCAATTGCACTAACGGCTGTCACACCGTTGCCTCCGAAATCATTGTCCTCCCCGGAAATCTCCTCAAGCGACCTCCCCTTGGTCTCTGGCACCAAGAAACTGAAGAAGAATCCGATCAAATTAATCACGGCAAGCGCCTTGATCGCCTTTTGCACCCCTTCAACCTTATGAGTATAACTCTGCAGCACAAATGCAGCAAGTATAGCCCCTGCTTTGCCTGCCGCCGCTGACACCCCGTGGCATGTGGACCGGAACCTAGCCGGGAAAAGCTCGGCCGGCACGATGAAAGTCGTGCTGTTTGGCCCAAAGTTTGCGAAAAACAATGTCAGCCCATATAACAAAGTGAACAATTTAGTGTGACCTTTGCAGAACTCATAGGTGGACTGTTTATCCTCACACTCCACTCCCCTGAGATTTCCGTAATGAAACCCTAGAACTCCCATGAAAATCGACATCAGTAAAAAGCCGCCTAGCTGGATCGGTTTTCTTCCAAGCTTGTCAATGGTAAACACAGTAAACCAGTAACCGGGAACCGAGGCAAAAAGTGCTACTAGCAGCATTGCACTGGATAGCCTGTAGACTTCTTCAATTGCATTCATTGCGGAAGGTCTAGGTAAAAGTCCACTTGAAGGGTAAATATCTTTCTGAGTGAGCTGGAGGCTGTAAAATGCAATGTCCAGCAGGAACCAGGTGGTGGTGGTGCCGAGAAGATGGGTGCCATGCCGCCTAAGAAACTCCCTAGAAAACAACTTATATGCGGAATTTGGATCAACTAGGGTTTTGGAACCAGATTCTCCGACCGGTATGTCCCTTTCGAGGACTTTGGCCATGTCAGCATTGGCCTTGTCCTGATCTCCTGCAACCAAGGCGGTGTACCTTGCAGTCTCAGGCATTTTTAGTCTCCAATAGAAGGTCAGAGCCGCGGGGACTGCGCCGAACATGAGCACGATTCGCCACACAAAATCGCCTTCCGGCTGAGTGGAGAGGACAGGATTAGTCCAAAAATCCTTAGCTGGGTAGGCTAGCAAGAATAGTTTGGACACGAACATGGCTACGGCTCCTGCAACCAAAATGCCAATTCCTTGCATTGCAAACACAGCTGCAATGAACCCGCCTCGGGTTTTTTGGTTGGCGTATTCGGACATGATCACTGCTGAGAGGGGATAGTCCCCTCCAATTCCGAATCCGAGCCAAAATCGGAAGAAACAGAGAGTTGTGACTACACCTTGAGCACTGTGGCCAAAGGAAAGGCCGGAGGCCAGAGCACATCCCACCATTGTGACTAATGTGATTCCGTAAACTTTTTTTCTACCAAGTTTGTCTCCAAGCCAGCCAAAGAAGAGTTGCCCTGCTAGGGTTCCGAACAGAGCAACCCCTGTTATGGCATTGTTGATGTGGTTAGGCAGAACGCCGGGCTTGTTGGTTGAAGGGTCGTAGTAGTAAAGGCGGCCTATGAGTTTTGTGACCGCAGTGATGCAGAAGAGGTCATAAGCATCGGTGAAAAACCCCATGCCGGCAATGACAATCGCTTTGTAATGGTAAAGTTGAGTCTTGGCATTGTCGAGAGTCGAAAAGAAGGTTTCTTTTCCATCCGCCATGGCAGAAAGTTGGGTTTTTTTGGCGACTGAGTGAGGGAGCCCGGGAAAGGTTTGCTAAAGAAATGATGATTTAAGAAGATCAAGGGGGCGGAGATTACCCCTGTTGTATTTTGGATTTTGGAAGATTTTCGAGAAATTCGCATTGTGATCAACGATTGATTTGTTTGAAAAGCCGTTAGTACCTAGAGGACACTAATCTCTGGGACAAGTTTTCTATGTAACTCTCTGTCTCTTTCTGTTCTTTCTTTTCTGGTACACAATTGCCAAAGCTGAACCAATACATAGTTTGAGAAAAGCTTGACATACAAGAAACGTATTCAGATGTATGTAACTTCTTCTTTTCTTAAGAGATTTTCTCTCAAATAATGCTGAACTTTGTCCGATTGCGATTGTCTTCTCATTTTTTTCATTCGATTCCAAATTGTATGTAATATCAACTTATATGAGTTGTTTCTGTGTGTCGGAGTACGTGTGTCAAGATTTGTCTATTTAGGGTTACTAAAATAGCATTGAGTTGCCTTCAGTTCCAACAACCGTGTACTGCAAGCAACAAAACGACATTGATACGCTGTACCCCTGACAGAGAAGATCTAAAAATTCTCTGATATGATGATATAACTATGTAATGAATCAAGATAACGAGTTTGTAGGACATCATTTTACAAATTGAGGCCGGATTGATTTTCGTGAGAATATCCCGAAGAAAAGCAAAACGAAAAAATTCATCACCATAGAGTCAACTAGGAGACTTGGTTGCTAACTGAGCCACGACGGCTGCTGTCTTCTTCTGGAGCTCCGGCTTGTTTCCTCCAATGAGTTTGTCCACTTGTCTTCCATCTTTAAGAAAAACGAATGTCGGAGTGGCCTTTATATCCCATGAAGTACTCAACTCCTGCAACCCCGGAATAACGAGAAGGAAAATTTCATTGGCAGCTGCATTTCTATACATCTGTTCTACGCAAAATATGCTATAAAATAAGAAATCATTCGCACTTACAGCGAGAACGTCAACATCCACGGTTAGAAATAAGGTAGAAGGATATTTATCTGCAAGCTCACAGTAGGCTGGTGCAATTACAAGACAAGGCCTACACCAAGATGCACTGAAATTTGCAACAACCTGTTGGACAGTTCAATAGAGAGGATCTCGTGAGAGAGAAAATTTGTCTTTAGGGTTACACATTATCTCTAGCAAGTCCCATTTTTGCTACATCCGGCTCACGAAGGTTAGCAAAAATTTTATTTTTGTGACAATACTGGTTTGAAAATTCTCCTTTGGCTCAAGAACTGATTAGAAATTTGTTCATAAACGACGCTAATTTCAGTAATTTGAAGTTTTTTTATCACGGCGTAGAAAAGGTACATTATGTGAATTCATGACAAAATTAAGAACACGAAAAACTTACAATCTTTCCATCCTTGATTGCTTCTGATAACTTTTCCTCCCAACCGTCCATGGTCTTTATAAGGTGCACATTTCCACCGGCAAGATGATGACCCTCTTGATGAACCTCATCAACATTATATCCGGTACACTGCAAGAAATCGAAGCATTTCCTCAGATGGAATGCAGAAAAAGGCCAATTATATCGGATGGTTTTAAATGATCCTTGTGTGCATATAAAGAAACTTACCACAGAGCAGCAGCTTCCCATTGGGTGTGCACAGATGAACTGGGAATATATTTACCAGAAACATCTACAAAAGTAAAAGTAAAAACCTTGTCAGAAATTCAAAATATGCAATTGTGACTGGCCATCGTGTTGATTTGATCCAGAGACATTAGCTAAATTTGCATAGACACGAAGAAAAAATCCTCCGAAAAAGAATCATGTTCGTAATTCCTCGATTAATTGCCTCATTTTCTTGTATTAATTTGGTGTTGATCTAAATAACAACATTACGTAAACAAAGAGAAGGGTTTTAGATTGATGAGATGAATTACCTCAGACAAGCTTTAATCTCCATGGTGATTAAAGCCTAATCCGCGACCGAGGATGATGAAAAAAAAAAAAAAAACCCAGGAATCAAGATTAATTAAGATGATGGAAGGAAGGGATTATGATAGAAAAAATTAATTTGTGGACGTCGATTCAAGAAAAAATGAGAAAATTATACACTGCTGAAACGGCAGCAAAGCTGTATTGTGATATAAGTAGGTGTAATTAACACATTAATAATCAGATATTTGGACAATTTATTTGGATCAAACATAACAACAATATGACAACGTGATCAGTTGTAAAAAACCAAACTGAAATATCATGAGAAGATAAAAATTGATTGTCTGTGATTGATCAATGGTGTAACAAACCTAGTACGTCCAATTGTTTGCAAAATATAAATTGTTACGTTTGTTGTTAGCAACTACGTTAGTTGTCCTGTTATGTGGGGGTAATTTCATGTCTAATCGTTTGACTCTACGTACCTAACTATGACTATACCATTTTTAGGGGGTCGAGTTAGACCCCTTCACCCGAGATTCTGTGTTCGGTTTTCTCTCTTCAATATTATCACTTGTATGATCAAGCCCTGGTTTGGTACCAAGATGATTATGAAAAAAGCTGATATCAGCTTTTTTTATGTTTGGTAAACATTCAACTTCAGCTTTTTTTCACAGTTTTTTGTGAAAAAAAAACCAAAAATAAGAAGCTGCAAAACCCAACTTTGAAAAACCGGCTTTTTTTCACATCTGTTTTACATAAAAGTTTACTAAACACTATAATACTGCTTTTTTTTTTCAAAAGCATTTTTACAAAAAAGTTTACCAAACACTCTATAGCTTTATTTCACAGCCGCTTATTCTCACAGCACAACAGATGCAGCTTTTTTTTCAAAGCACAACAATACCAAACCAGCCCTAAGAAAAACATACGGAGTAATAACCGATATACCATCTTGCTCAATGCAAGTTCTAACTTAATGTTGGAGATAGTGATGCTGAAAACACAATAACATTGAACATTATTTCCAAATTTCCAATTGCATTCCAAAAACAAGATGACAGTGCTTAAATAGAAAAAAGAACTAAAGTTTTTTCATGGGGTTTGCACATCAAATTCAGACCCAGAGGACGGCCTAGTTTTCGTGTCGGATTGCCGGAGTTCCCCTATCATTCTAACTACTTCATCCATGTTGGGGCGTGTTTCGGGCAATTTTGTTACGCATGCCAGAGCAATCTGCAGCACCTGCACCATCTCTTCTTCAATGTGGTGGTGTTTCAGAAGTTCCAAATCAAAAACCTCAGCTGTCCACTCCTCGCGCACAACAGACTTAACCCAACGCGGGAGATCAACTACGCAATCATGCCCCAGATATTCAAGCGTGGCTTTGCCTGTCAGCATTTCTAGGAGGAGCACACCAAAGCTGTAAACATCTGATTTGTGAGTGGTTTTCCGCATGTCAATTGCCTCTGGAGGGCGATATCCAATGGCTCGGGACATGGCTGGAGGGAAGTTCATTAGAGGACTCAACCCTACGTCCGAGATGCAAGCCTCGAGTTCTTGGGTGAGGAGAATGTTTGTGGACTTTATGTTGCCATGGCTGCATTTAGCACCCACGGAATGAATATGAGCAAGTCCCTTGGCAATTCCGAGCGAAATTTTTACTCTTGAATCCCAGTCTAGTGGAGACCTCCCAATATCACTGTTTCCTATAAATCCATTGAAACAACGAAAATAAGGCAAAAGCATAGGAGCATTGCAAATCAAAGTAACTATAAATGGAGATTAGGATTTAGATTAGGTATATTACCATGCAAGTGAGCAAACAAGCTTCCTGCTGGCATGTAGTTGTACACCAAAAGCTTCTCCTCCGTGGAGAAATAATAAGCGCGAGGAGGCAGGACATTCGGGTGCTTCCCTACCCTCTCCACCACCTCCATATGCTGCTCAAACTCCCTCTTCCCCACCACAACTTCCCTCAACCTCTTCACCACAACCGTTGTTTCCTCATCCAATACAGCTTTGTAAGTTGTTCCGAAACTTCCTTTACCGAGAACTTCAGCTGACGCCCTCAGCAGATCCTCAAGGTCAAAATTGTAATGGCACCCTTCAAAGAAGAATAGCTTGTTCTTCTCTGCCTCTTGCACTCCACTTCCGAAATCCTTAGGCATCTCACCCTTTCCATCTCCTGAGGCCTTCCCTTTCAACATCCCGCCACCTACTTTGTTAGTCCTTTTCAAACAGCATATGACAACCACCAGGACTAGAAGAACCAACACTGCAGAGCCCCCAATTGCCACGGCAACAATGGTGCCCGGGCTAAGTTTTTTTATGAGTGTAGCATGGTGATTTTTGAGGATGGTTGGCGAGGGTAGCAAGAAAGCAGGGGATGCAGAAGGGTAAGTGGAGGTGTTTTTAGAACAATTGTTGAGAGGTGCCCCACATAACTGAGGATTCCCAACAAATGAAGAGTTGGAATATTTATCGAGGGAATATGGAACCGAGCCATTCAAGTTATTGAAGCTCAAATTCAAAAGCTTAAGCGCGGGGAGGTTCAGATTCGGGATGGCTCCAGAGATGAAATTGTTTTGGAGGCGCAATGTAGTGAGGCGTGTAAGATTCTGGATTTTTGGTGGAATGTTACCGGAAAAGGAGTTGAAGGAGAGGTCTAATACAATGAGGTTGGGGGACAGAGAGGCAGGAAGCTTTCCTGAGAAGTTATTCTGATGGAGGTAAAGAAACTCCAAGGAAGGAATGGATGGGATATCAGAAGGAAGACTTCCATAGAGGAAATTTGAGTGGAGGCTGAGTACTCGAAGAGCACGAAGCTTTCCTATACTGTTGGAAGGGATGGAACCGAAAAGTCCAATTCCCGGAAGATGGATAGCAGTCACTCCAGTTTTGTTTAAATTGCAAGTGATTCCAACCCAAGAGGTGCAAACTGGTATGGAAGCATTCCAGTTGAGTTTTCGGGTGTGGACAACTGTGCCAGCAAAGTTGAGGAGGGCTTGTCCATCTGAGTTCAGGTCAGACAAAACCGAGGAAGGGAAAGGCATAACAAGGGAAAGGAAGATAAGCGCGCGAACGAAGACCTGAAGCTTCATGGTTATCTGCTCAGAATGCAAATGGTACGATTAGAAAACCCCGAAAACAAAGTTAGCGAAACATGCAGATAGGATGCAGATAGCTGCAAAAATTCGACTACATTTCGGGTTTAGGAAGGCAAAGAGTGGCAAAGAACCACTGAATGACTTGGGGAAATCCAAGAGGATTGATCATAACTGTGTTTGAAAAGTGCTGTGCTAGGCAAAACGCCTCCCTTTATGCCTTAGCGATTTCAAACTTTGGATCAAACACAACCCAAACAAAAAGGTGACAAAAGACAACCCACTCAGCATTCAAAGTTCACATAACTTGAGACAGATTCCATTAGGGACAAATAAACATGCTAGTTAGCCTGTTTTGATCACCCTAATTGAAGAGAATAAATTCATCAAATTTGTTTATCTTATTGCTTTAGAAAATGATACCAAATAGGAATTCTCCGCGTGTGTACTGATTTTACTCACTAGGAAGATACAAGATTAAAACCAAAAAATGGGTTTGTGAAGAATAATCTTTGTCATTAGATGGATTAATCATGGGTTTAAATGAATTAAAATTTCTTCAAAAATATAAGGGAAAAAGGAAAATGCATCCCTACCAACTTTTGTAAGTGGGAAAAAGCAAAGTGCACTATCTTTAGCCAAAAGAAAAAAGAAATAAAGAGAGGCCAAACAAAGAAACGAGAGGTTGGTAACCAAAATATAAGCTCACCTTTTTCCCTAAAAGAAAAAAAAATTATGTACTTAAAAGCTAAAAGTTTAAAAACAAGTGGGAAAAGCAATCAAAATATATAAAGCAAAGTGGTGACAAAGATAGAATCCAAGAAGAAGATAATCTTCCTAAAGAAAAAGAAAAAAGTTCAATATTATGTATAAGAGGAAGGTATTTTTGTGTGTTACAGATTTTCTTTGATATTATACAGGAATTTTATGGCTCGTTTGGAAGTTCTTTTAAAATGATTGAAATTTGTTTTTGGTGAAATTGATTTTGAATTTCAAAAGCACTTTAAGTGCTTTTTGGAAGAAACACCAGATGTGTTTATTGCAGGAAATACTTAAAGTGTTTTTTCATGATCCAATTGATTTTTGGGAACTTTAACGAAAAGCACCCGGTACTGTTCACTTTAACGAAAAACCACATTTTTACACTAAAAAGTCAATCCTGGTACTATTCACTTTACCCTTTATTTTGTCCTTATCATTCAAACTCAAAGTTTTCAAGCCCTTTTCATTAGTTTTCCTTTGATTTTTTACCAAGATTTGGTTTAAAAAATATTTTCACCAAAAACGTTTTTAGTCATTTTAAAAGCATTTCCAAACTTGCATTGAATTGCCTTTTGTTGCAGGTTTCATGCTTGAATAATCAAAAGTAAGCACATTGGAACATGAATATATAATATGAATTTCCATATAAGTAACGAGTCATTTTTTTCTGAATTGTCGATCACAGGCTAATACGGATACACAATTGTTGAAGCATGAAAAGAAAAATTCGTACCAGATAAATTTGACTTCCGATGAATATTCATGCATTTTAACCCAAGTGTTACTACAGATCTGTCAAAACAAAAGTAAACTCATGAAGGGAAAATGCCAGAAATATCAACTCAGAAATATACAAATACACTGATGTGCTATAGAACTGTGAAAAAGAAGAAGTAATCTCTAAAATTTAATCCCATGAGGGTCAGAAAAAACCTACCTGAGAATCTGAGCAATCTGTCACAGATTTCTGTGCTACTTGGAAGTTAAGGTGTGTGAAAATTAGCAAAGTTAAAGAGGTTGAAGAGGCTGAGAGACTAAAACCAAAGGAAAATGAATTTATAATTTGAATACAACGGGAATAATTTTAAATTTCCCTATAATGTATAGTGAAAATAATAATAAATATACAATAATTGATAGAGAAACGGAATTTTTTTAATGAATTGGTGATTGGATTGTAGGAGTTATGAAGTAAAAATGTCAGGTATGGACTATAAAGAAAATAATTTTAAAAAAAACAATGTTTTTGGTTACTCAAGGATGACGAAAGCTTCTCAAAAAATTTCCTCTCCGATTTTTACAGACATTCATGCCTATAATTGGAACCGTTCATATTACAAATCACTCTGTAAATATCATATATGCAAAAAAAGAATGATATTAAAACTAATATCGTTTAGTCAATCAACTGTAGCGGTAAATAGATAGACAGTTCGTAATGTTTTTACCATTTTCATCCATTTATTATTATATAGTTTGATGATTAAACGACCTTAGTTTTAATCGACTTTTTGCAGAAGGTGATCTTTATAAAATGATTTATAATATAAACGGTTTTCATCATAAATATAAAATTCTATGAATTAGAAACAAAGCATTTTGAGTAGGAATACTTAAATAAAGGGTTCGATTTATTCTTCAACATTTACGTCGGCAATTGCAATCAGAACATTTCTCAACCAAAAAAGCTAAATGCTGATTTAATATATAATAAATATAAATATAGTGCAATGGGGAGCAGCATCCATGAAAGCATGTTTCACTCTAAGGACTGAGGAGTGTGTAGAGTGGATAGGGACTGGAGAGCAACTGCTTTCATTTCATTGTCCTGCTCTTGACTTGTCACTTTATTTAGCATTGGTTAGGAGTTGGGACAAATGATTGTTGCACAATTTTTGGCACAAAACTCGCGTATTGCGTAAGGAGAGAACTTTCGACATGATTGTCTGATTATGACAGTTCTCACATTGAATGAATAAGCGGGAGGGTTAGATGCAATTAAAATACAAAATCGAACTCAGGCCTTTATCTGTCCCCAACAAAAAAAAACCAAGCCTTTATCCAATAGAAGGCTTGTCCACAAACAAAACCTTCAAAAACTTTTTCAGGTCACACCTTCAGTTACCATTTCAAAAACTTTTCGATTAGAAAAACATCAAAATTTCCGTTAAAAATTGAAGTTTTTACAAAGAGCATCCCGCAGATACTTATTTAAACAGTATAAGAAGCGTCATTAATTTTATGAAAATGCTTTCAGCCATTTTAAAAAATGAAAACTACTGAAAATTGTTTGAAAACTTTGAGTTTTAATGATAAGGACAAAATAAAAGGTAAAATGAATAGTATCAGGATTGACTTTTTAGTGTAAAAATATGGTTTTTCGATAAAATGAACAGTACCGGAAGCTTTTCGTTAAAGTTCTCTTTTAAAAATACTTACAAACAACTTACAGCCTTACAGGTAGAAAGAGAACAAATTTTCTTAAAACCTAGCCCTTGTAATTACTAAGGGGAAATTTGTTATGTTGATCTGGGGTGGAATGATGAATTATCACGCATGATAATTATAATTATCCCCTGTTTTGACTTCAAACCCAACACCAGCAGATTCAAAACACTAATTATGTCAAACATAAACAACGAAAATTCTTCAACTCTCACATGGTAGTAGGGTCCTTGATAAAGTATCAAAGGTTAATTTCTGAAAACATGGTCCCTTAACAGAAACCATATCATGCTAGGCCCCAGTTTGGGGTTGAGGTGATTTTAAAAAAAGCTCATATGAAAAAAAGCTGGGAGTGTTTTTGGTGTTTGGTAAACTTAAAAAAAAGGGCTTATTTTGGAAGCTACTGTCAGAATAAGCTGAAATCAAAGGAAAAAGCTGAAGCTGCAATTTGTAGCTTTGGAAAACTGGCTTTTTTTCAAAGCACACAGAACTACAGTGCTCCTTTGATGAAAAGATCCACTATCAGACTGCTTTTTTTTTCAAAAGCACTTTTACAAAAAAGTTTACCAAACACTCTGCTGATTTATTTCACAGCCGCTTATTCTCACAGCACAGCCGCTTATTCTCACAGCAGCTTTTTTTCAAAGCACAGCAATATCAAACCAGCCCTAAGTTGTCTCTTCGTATAGTAGGTAATTCCCAACAACTTCACTAGTAGTTATACAAGTAGAACTAAGATATCAAACTCGTCATTCATAATCAAGTATCGAACTCGTCGTTCAAGTAAGCTAAAAGCTTAAACCTCATACGTCCAACTTACGAGTTAAGAGGAACATAGCATACGAACTGAAGACGAGGAAAAGGATGTGAAACTGAAATCGATGTCAGTGAGTAAGACTGAAAGTTCTAGGATGGGTACTAGTTTAACCTAGAGGGGGTGAATAGGTTCCAATTTAAAATCCAATTCAATTTTCAATTTAATTTTCAGTTCTCAAATTAAATCCACATTCATATCACATATCAAACTATCATACTCATATGGAATTAAAACGATAAATAAAAAGTGCACACATGATGTAGGATTTTACGAGGCAAAACCCACCACTGGGAAAATCCTCGGGCTACCAAGCCAGGAAGCACTAAGAAAGAAAGAATACATAAAGACTTACAAAACTCATCAACTAGACACTCATACCAGTTGGCAGCTTTGTCTCCACGCTTTGCTACTCGATCTTTCTTCAGTCTTCGAGTTGAAGTGGCACGACACTAACGCAGCCGTCAATCACCTTTCCCTCGAACTTTGCACGATGCTAACTCGATCATGCAGAATGTTTATATGATGAAGTGTTTGTTTGGAAAACAATCAATTACGAAAATCACAAGGCACATTTTCATAATTGACATTCAATAAAAAACCAAATGAAAATCAGCATGAAAATAATATTTTCCCTTTAAATACTCATGCTATTGAAACCGCAAGACAGCAGCCATATCAAAAATATTTTTCCCTTCTTTCAAAAACACTAAGCTGCTGCCTCTTAAAACATTTTTTCAAAGAACCTGGGTTATATGCATATATGCGGCTTCCCCTTTTTTAAAACCAAATACCCTGTATGCATATATGCGACACCCTTTAAACAAATCCCTTGTATGCTTATATGACTCACGCACCGCACCAAAATGAATGGATAAGGACGGCATGCCAATTAGATAATCCCATGCAATCCATATTGATCAATAACTCTACCAACACCCAAACACGTTTTGATAACACGGTTTGAAAAAACTCAATACCATCAGATTAGTCCTAATGCAATTAGACTATTTTGCATGCTTTAAAATCTCGAATATAAAGGAATAAGATATTTTAAAAAGATAAACCACTCAATGGTTAAGAGTCCTATATCAAAAACAATAACATGAGATATAGATGAATGTAGTTGGATGTATGCATGCAAACGTACCTGAATATTTATCGCGTGTAGGTAACATCTTTGCATCGAAAGTGTGAGAACCCTTCCTAGACTTAAACTATTACAATTGAAAATGTATAACAAGTCTAAGCTATTACAGACTCGAGCATTTTGTCAGGGATTGCCAATTTTACCCTAACAAAGACTAACCTTATTATATGAGTAGTTGGCTGTTGCCGTTCTCGTAGGATGTTCCATGTCCTTCTCTGCGACGTATAGTATAGTGGTGTTAGGCTGTCGTTTCAACAAATGATATGCTCCATCCAAATTACAGGAGCCTTTTAACCGCTCCCGTGCGATGGACAGGTTCACGTCACGGGACAGTTATTTTACTTGCAGTTGCAGGCTTGCTTGTTTTGGAGGGAGTATTCAGTAGGGTTGCTGCACTACGGCAATAGATACTAGGGAGTTTTAACGAAAAACTACATTTTTACTCTAAAAAGTCACTCATAGTACTATTCACTTACAACACTCTTTTGTCCTTTTGATTAAAACTCAAAGTTTTCAAGTTTTTTTCATTAGTTTTCCTTAGATACTAAGGATACGGACAACGGGCATAATAAGGAGGGGAGGGCTATTTTTTGTGTTCCGATCATTGATGCAAAAAATATCCAAATACCAAAATTCGACCATCTATAAAACTTCTTCAAAGTATAAGAAGCTCTTGGGAAGATTAAAGAAAGAATATGTTCTTCTTCCCTAAAGAATTTGTCCAATAATTTATAACCTAATCTTTTCAAAAAAGTTCGTACAGTACTTTTGTGTTTACGAGCCAAAGTTTTAACACAAGAAAGTCGAAGTAGGATGGAGCTTGTTGTCTGGAAGCCTGAAGTTTTTCTCGGACTTTAGAATACTTTTTTGTAAATACAAGCGATATTCATACTCTAAACTTTAGAACCTTAGTTGTAGGGCCACGTGGTCTGAAAGTCCATGATGAAGTTTTTCTCCGACTTTAAATTAATCTTAGGTTCAAAGTGTGGATTTCATAATAAAAAATAAAAAAACAAAAAAAATACAAGATAAAAGGAACGCGGGAAAGAACCGATGAGGACATAAAATCGTGAATAAAAAAGCGTGATGAAAATTCTCAACTCGAGATGTTAGAAGGTGCTTTTTTTTAATACAAGCAATATTTCTACCTTTAATCGTGTATGTCTTTGCAGCTTCTTTCTTGTATTAAGGTTTAACACCATAGGAGCTTTGAGGACAGATACAGAAGCAGATTTAAGATTGGACTTTATAAGATCATGGGCCCGTTCAAAGACCACCTTGATTTTATGAAAAAATTATAAGTGCTTTATGGCTTCTCCCAACAGCTTTAGGAAATTTTTTGCAGGCAGAAAACACCAATAGGAAGAGCAACTTACATGGAACGTACATCACGGAAAAGTACTGTACCATGTAACTCCTTCGCAAATGGAAGCAACGATAACTTCAAAGGAATAATCTAATCAATTATATTTGATGACTGAGCAAAAGCTCGAATCGAAAATGCTGGAGAATTACACAACGGAGATCACAAGGTTTTGAAACATTACAAATCAGAGAAACAAATAATCAAAGCCAAGCTTTATGCTTCAGCTGTTAGTCTGTCATTTTTATTTCCCTCTTTGGGGCCATCATAACTCTGAAAGTTCCAAAGTTGGCTGTTTGCGGTACAAACGTAAACTAAACCAATAAAACTCAACTCTGCAAAACAATGCAAGGGTAACCTACACCAACAATCTGAGCTGACGGCCGAAAGACTTGCGCGTTATTTACAAACTCCTGTATCAAAACAAAACAGAAGAGAATGGAAGGGACTTGAACAAAATCTAGAGAAATAATCACTGTGACCCGCTTTTTTCGAGCTTTTCAATTTCTTCGCGGTGCTTTTTTTCTGCCTCCTCAAGTGCTTTTTCAGCATCCTCCTCTTCTTCAATCTGATCAAGATTATCAAATTCCTCGGTTGCAGCCATTGCTTTCACAACCGGATCTCTAAGCTCAGCTATTAGTCCGCCACCAACTTTGTACTCTTCTTCATCGCCAATCAGGAACAAGCGCTGGTCAGGTCCTGATGCCATGGGAATGTCAACTGCCAGTAGCTTCATATCATACTGCATAAGAAGACAACACCCTTGAATGAGGAAAACTTGGCCATCCAAGTACCCTTCAAGTCATAAGATCCAAAATAGATGGGTTTTCAACACCCCATATACTGGCTAATGTAAAGCAGAATTTGATTAGTCATGTCCCAGACCTTGCACTCAATCTGCTCCGTTTGAGAGGCACTCAATCTGTTGTTTAACGAGTACACTTTTTACCTAAAGCATCACAATAGTGGATACAGAAAATAACATACTTGCAATGTACATTTTCCACACTATCAACCGTGGCATGAAATTAGTTTAGTTTCAACTTCCATTTGGTATACACAAGGAGATCAAGGAAGAAATTGAAATAAAAATACGTGCTTATGAAAAGAAAAATTTAGAAGCATCCAGCATAGCATAGCACGAACACAAACCTGGCCTTCTTTCTTCTTTACTTCAACATTAACCAGACCCTTCCTCTCAGAACCTCGCACGGGGAAAATGAGGAAACACCGCTTGCTCCTAAAAGTTGGCTTGAACTTCTTCAGAGTGACTCCACCTCCGGACATTACGTAAGCTCTTAGCTCTGATCCAGAGAGAGGAGCACCCATAACCTCGAGAATCCCAGCAGATGTATTAAGCTTCCTCATTGCGATTCGATAAACTTTATCAGGATTGATTGTGAACCTCGAGCGGATGTAAAGGCCCTAAAAGTACCGATAGAACACATAACTCTCAAGTAGTAGTCTATAACCAAAAGCAAGATTGTCCACTAACATGAAATTCACATACACTGCATAATTAGATATCAAGATTTTAGTTCCTACTATCCTATAAGTAAAGACTTCAACTTTCGATCATACATAGATTCCCGAAAACAGTATAAAATGAACCCACCGGAAGGCAATCTGAATTCGATCATTATACATCCCCCAATAGAACTTATAAACTTATAATTCTAAATCATTAGATTGACATTCTCAGCTACTTCTATGTCATTGCAAGAGATTCAGAGGAACTTACAGCGAAGGCGACAATGGCGGTAGAAAGGGCGAGGAAGCCATACTTGGCCATGCCTTCAGAGAGTCCAATGAAGGTGCTAGCAATCCCAAACATCATCCTCCATAGCAAAGCACAAACCAGCACTCCCCCAATTCCCAACAGCACCAGATTGTTCCTCTTCCAGAACGCCTCAATCTGCAACCCAATGGCCTCCTGGTACCGCGAGAAAGCCGATGACGCCGCAGAGAGCGGCTTATCAAACACCTTCTTAGCATCGATTTTGCTGAAATTCGACGGCTTGAAAGAGAAAAACCTCATGCCCAGGCCCATACCCGGCCCCGAGTATCTGCCAACCCCGCCTCCGGGGACTGTTTTCGGGTGAGAGGGAAACTGGGGAGGAGGCCCATTGCTGGAGTGGTAGCTCCTCCTGGCGGAGGACAACGAAGGCGGAGACGGAGATGAGGGTTTTGAGATTTGGCTGCGGTGAAATCTTAGCAGGCCTTCGAAGATCCGAGACGAGGGTTTTGACATTTGAATTTTGTGGGTTTGTGTGATTTGGGGTTCGATTAGGGATTTGAAATCAGCTTAAACAAACGAACAGACTTCACTCGGATTTCGATTGAGAAATTTAACGGCTTTATTCACCTGCCCACATTTCCCACCATTAAAAATTGGTAATTTTCTATGCTCTCTTCAGTGAAGACATTTTTGGGAAGTCGCCATGGATTCTGGTAGATAACCGTTGTTTCAATGGGAATGAAAAACCCTGCAAATGGACTTGAGCTCAGTTGGGAGTTTGTTCTATTGTCGCCATCGAGGGTTGGCGCAGTTGGTAAGGTTTTTACCTTGTGTGTCGTCCAGTAAGTTCGGGTCTCGTTGCTAGCAGTTATTATTGAAATGCGGTCTATAAATTCCTACATAAATTTATACCGATGACAACTCACAATTAGTTGCCACAAGCGAGTCCTTGAAGATCTCTCCCCAAACTTTTGCTTACCAAAAATAATTGGTCTATTGTCGATTTCTATAAAACCTATACACTTATGAATAAAAGCAGTCAGAAATAAAATGCATATACAACTTCACCACTTATCAATTATATTCTAATCAATTTAAATTTAGTTTTTCAAGTATTAGATTAAAGATCGTATTGTGAAATCACATAATTTTTTATTCCGTATGTACTCCTTCCATGCAAGTAAACATCGCATTCGAAACTCCGATACGAAAGCCAACCACTTGGTTATCAGACCAAACTATATATGGTAATGATCTCAAGATATAGCAATTACAACCGTTTAGGCTATTGTATACACGAGGAGAAGAGTCTTGGATCCCAAGTTATGATAAGTCTAACAAGCCTTCACACATCACATATACCACGCACCATATTCCGTTTACTCGAACTAGACGAACCCCAGAAAGATAGACTCGGCATGAGTTCTAAATAAATGCTACTACACAAGCAGTATCGTATTTCAAGCAGTCGACTAGGCGGGTCCAGACAGGAAAGCTCTTCCTGGTGGACGGTTAGCCAGAGGACCATGGCATCCGAGAAGCTGCACAATCAAATATTAAAACTCATTAGTTACGCAGGCTGCTGAGAAGAAGACATTATCTGTACATATTTCAACTTTTGGTAACTTGTGTAACAACTAACGGAATGTATGAGATGATGACAATGTATCAAGACACTAGCACAAGTATTACCTTAGCATTAACACCATCTGGCTGGATTCTGCCTTCGTTCTTGTACTTCACGTAATCAGCACGACTGAACTTGGTGAAACCCCTGAGAGAAAGGATAACAAGAAACATCGGCGATGAGAACTGAAGGATTATGTCGTAAACAATGTCCCTAACAACTAATTGCAACTCTCCGTTCGAGTAAATCATAACTTTGAGGTTCCATCTTCTCACAACGGTGAAAGAAGACCATACAAATTTATGCCAACTTAAACTATTGTTGTGTGACAAATAAAAACACTCTCGTTTCATTGCAGGCGGATGGTAACCCAGAGCAAACTTAATTTAATCAACAGTTTCCAAGCTAAAATGTATAAAAACCCGCCTACTAGCACAGTCAAACTAAATTCTATAAGTTGGATGCCATCTAGAAGAATGCAAATTGCATCAATGCTTGAATTTGAAATGCAGAAATAGATGGAAAAATAACAAAAAGCACACCACTTCCTGCTGACAATAATCTTTTGGCGGCCAGGAAACTTGAACTTTGCACGGCGGAGGGCCTCCTGTGCATGTTGACCGTTGCTATCCCTGCAGCGAACAGACAAGAGGACCTGCCCGATAGCAACTCGAGCACATGTTCCCAGTGGCTTGCCAAACGCACCTCTCATTCCGGTCTGGAGCCTATCAGCCCCAGCACATGAAAGCATCTTGTTGATGCGCAGCACATGGAACGGATGCACCCTCACTCTCAAATGGAAAGTATCCTTCCCAGCAGATTTCGTCATGTACTTGTTGCAGGCGATGCGAGCTGCCTCAAGCGCCTCACTCGAGACATTCTCCTTCTCCCAACTCACGAGATGGACGCAGAAGGGGAACTCATCAACACCCCTCTTCTTCATTCCAACATCATAAATTTTGATCTTGGGATCAGGGACACCGCGACAGAACCGCGATTTCGGGTATGGCTTGTTCTTAATCTGCCTATAGCACCTTGCAGGCCCTAAAACATCACAAACCAGAACCAAATTATTACAAAAACATGATGATAGCGAAAAAGGGTATTCAAATATCCAATCTAAACACGATCTTCTAACGCAACCAAGCAATTCCAAATACTACACAGAAATCAATCATACCAAACCGAAAATACAGCATCTTAATAACAAATAATCTCAGTATTAACAAATTAATCACGTACGATATAATCCATTTCGGTATCAAAAACCAAAATCCACGTAAAATTCGTTTAATCACATAGAGTTCCAGATTAAGAACACAGAGAAAATCCATCCAGCACTAACAACATGGTAACTTCGATTGGATCTTTATATATATAATTCGATAGGTGCATGTATAATACATCGACGTGCGAAGAATGAAGAAATAATTATAGAAAAAAAATAAAATAAAAGCAAGAGAGAAGAACTCACTCCTCCCCATGGCGATCTCTTCTATTCTCTCGTCTTGTTTACGCTTCCGGGAAGAACAAGCTTCACAAAGCCTATCGAGGGCTTTTTATACTTGGTACCCCTCGAGATCCCTACTCCGGCCTATACGGTTTCATCACAACGGCCCAATTAAAGAGGCCCAAAGTATTTTAGTCCGGGTCGACCCAAACGATACCTGGATTGGGGTTTTACAGGCGAAAGCCACAAAATGAATCGACAATTCTTCGTTATCAAATTTGTTATTTATGACCTATAAGTGGAAAATTTAAAATTTATCACGTACAAATGCAGATGAATACCAATTGTATATAAATAAAGGAAAACTAATGAAAATTGTTTGAAAACTTTGAGTTTTAACGGTAAAGATAAAATAGATGATAAAGTGAATAGTATCATGATTGACTTTTTAGTGTAAAAATATGATTTTTCGTTAAAGTGAATAATACTGGGAGATTTCGTTAAAGTTCCCAATAAAAATAATTACTAGACAATGTGACATTTAGATTCAAAGAAGTTCCCACGTTAATCACAAGGACCCCCGATCATCTCATTCGAAGGGTACTTTTCACGAAAACATAAGACACGTCGTATTACTACTCTGTTCAATGAGTTCTAACAAAAATTTACTCGTTAAAGTATCAGATGATGTGTTTTGCATTGCCCCAGTACACCATAAAGAACTTGCAATTCGCTCAGACAGTTGAACCGCACAATGTGAAGATAAAGCGGAAGCTATCGTGGGCACATCAGCGGCGGGAAGCGGATCTCCCCGCGGTTCCTTCAACCATTGAGGAAGAGATGGAGACAGACCCCTTCATCCGTGCCGATCTACCGCAACTTCCTTAGGCCGAAAAATATAATTGTTTTACAGGAAAAGGTCGGTTGCAAAACCGCCGTTGAAGCTCTACGGGAGATAAGGCAGCGAAAGGGCAATTGGAAGAGTTCGTTCGTGTCATCTTGCTTTCGATTTTTCTTTGCAACAGAAATGGGGATGGAGATTGCAGAGCTTATATATGAAACGTAAAGACATTGCGCTAGTTTAAAAGTGTTTTTAAAATGATTGAAAGTGCTTTTAGTGAAAATGTTTTTTGAACCGATCATTAATAAAAATTCAAGTTACTTTTGGGGGGGGGGGAAAAAATTTAAATGCTTTGGATGTGATTTTAAAATGATTGAAAACGCTTTTAGAGAAAATGTTATTGGGTTACAAACGTACTTTAAGTATTTTCTATAAGAAACACCAGTTATGTGCTTCTTTCATGAAGCATTTAAGTGTTTTTCTATGATTTATTCGTATTTTTACTAAGGATTGTTTCAAAAAAAAATATCACCAAAAACATTTTCAATCATTTTAAAAACATATCCAAACGACTGAAAACGCTTTTAGATAAAATGACTGAAAACGCTTTTAAATGACTGAAAATGCTTTTAGATAAAATGTTATTGGGTTCCAAAAGTATTTTAAGTACTTTCTACAAGAAACACCAGTTGTGCTTCTTTCAGGAAGCACTTAAAGTGTTTTTCCGTGATTTATTTGTATTTTTACTAAGGATTGTTTCAAAAAAAAAAAATTCACCAAAAGCATTTTCAATCATTTTAAAAACATATCCAGAAGAACTCATAAACTGTTGCCTTTTGTAGAAAACACTTCAAGTATTTTTTGAATCAAAATATTTTCTCTAAAAACGTTTTTAGTCGTTTTAAAAATGCTTTTAAATAAGGCCAACATGTTTATGATAGCTACTTGATGGTTGGGCCAGCTGTAAAACATATGTCAATCTTCTTTGGCGAGGACGCTTGACAAATGAAGTGGTTCGTTTGAGTGTCGGCACCTACCACATGAAAGGGCTTACAAATTCTTTATTGTTTGATTTCTGGCCTGTCTGAATTTGTTAATAAAGTATAGGTTGGTCCTCTTGCATAGTGAAGGCGCCTTTTCTTCTCCAACAAGTAAACTCATAATTCGAATCAAATTATGAGATTTCTTTTTATCGAAAATGACCCTTTCAAAGAAAATTAAATAAAAGCATACGGCACCTGTGTAAAGCAATTCGGAAAAGGAGAAATAATAAATGGAGTCGTTGGTGGACTGCATTGTTCAAACTCGAAATCTGAATTGAATTCGTTTTACTCTAAAATTGAGAATATACTAATTACAATAAAATCGCACGGTTTAGTCCTAAAAAATGATTGAAGAAATCGAACCAAACTAAAGAAATTTTGGACAAGTTGATTTGGGGTTTTTTTTTTCTTAGGCCACAATAATGAGGCCAACGACTCTTTCTTTCATCTGATGATACTGGATCATTGGACTGTTTATGATCCAACGATTTAGGTTCACTTTTTTTTTTTTCAGTTTTAAATTTATAAATTTATTGAATCCAATGGTTGAGATCTAATATGATCAAATTTAAAGGTAAAAAAATAAAAAAAATAAAAAAATAAAAAAGAAAAATATCTCACTGCCCAAATTTAAATCCAACGGCTAACATAATTAAAAAAAATTATTCATAGTGTTCCATGAGTTTCATGGTATCGGTTTAGTAATTTTTTAATATTTATCATAATCTATTATTTTTACGTTAAAATGTTTATAAAATTAAATTAGGATAGTCTACATTATTATTATTTTTTTAAAGTTATTTTAAACAAATTAGCCTAAATTCATTCTTTTAAAATCTCATGCT